CAGGGAGTATTTGACTCCGGACTCCCGTTAATTTCGCACCCTGGCTACTATGTGGATTCGTGGTGACCTTTGCAGGAGGTCAGGACAAAGCGATCGGCAGCAGGAGAGTTTGATGCAAGAGCTTCGTAGCATGGAGCAATCATCGCTGAAAGACCTGAATGCCAAGCACGAGGCAGCCACAGCTCAACTGAGGATGGAGAATCAAGGTACTTGAACTCTTCTATAGCATCCTGTTCTTGGAGACGAACGTTACAATGTCATGTGTGAAGCGGAGGTCTGGACCGTCTCTCCAGGACGCAGATACACTCTGCTACCCCATGTGGGTTCACTCAGATCATCACTTGAAGAAATTGAGCTATAAAGTTATATATGAATCTTAATTAATCGATAACATTATACTGTCATCAAGGGTTCCATCACATCTTCTCTCATTTGAGACTAATATTACAATAACGATAATACTTCAATACTTTTCCCTTTATTTGGATATTAGTATTATAACCTCACAACGCTTTTTCTCTCAACGCCATTATTTCAGGCACGTTATATTCCTTCAACCCTTCTATAGTAAGACTCTTTGTTTCAGACCAATTTTACCATGTCTTCAACACTTTCCCCTTTGTCAATACCCTTTTATTGCAATAGAGTGTCATTACCATTTCTCTAGCTTTCTGAGCATTGTAAACTAGTTCAGTGTGTGTGGCTGGCAGTCAGTTGGTATCAGCAGCAAATGCATTCCAGCATGACCAAGTATTCACCTATCGTAATTATCCAGCAAGCAAATCGCCATTGTCTGTGTATCTTCTTTATTTCACCAGAAGCGAACATCGTCACCCCATAATCACCGGGTTTCCCATCGTTTCTTATAGATCTGAAGGAGCAGTTGGTGGAACTTAGTGCCGAAAACAAGAAGCTGGAGGAGGTGGCCTCTCTTGATGCCGCCACAAATCAAGTACGTAGGCGACACTCTAACTGGCCCTGCGTCCACAGCTGTTATCACACTCGCAGAAACCTAGGGCGCACTGTCAAAAATAGTGAAAAAAAAGTGTTTTTGATAGGAAATGCCATCGTTTTAGTCGAATGCAGCGCCCCCTCACGAACGAATAAATGTACGTTAGCGGGTCGCGCTTGCTCTGTTTGACGAACAAATTACAATCGGCCCCCGTAAAATGGTAACAAAATATCGTCCGGTGAATGTTGAAATCGGTCGGACTACTGGTACATACTGACTCACTAAGAATCTGTGAGTTTACGCACCGGGGGTATGAAAGGATAAGTATGAAGGTAGGAGCGTATGCGGCCCGCCAGTCACGCGGCGTCGTCGTTGTCGTCGTCGGTTTCAGCGACTGTCGGAGACGGTGTCTGTGCTGGAGCAGGCCTGCCAGCAGATGGAAGCTGAGCTGGAGACGCGCAGCAAGCTGAAGCTGCAGGAATTCCCGCGGCTGCTAGCCGAGCAGCAGAGCGAGCAGACGAGGTAAGAGAGCGATCAGACGAGGTAAGAGAGCGATCAAGTGTGCGTGCGTGCGTGCGTGCGTGCGTGCGTGCGTGCGTGCCTGTGTGCGTGCGTCAGTCTTTGTGTGTGTGCGTGTGCGTGTGCGAGTGCGCGCGCGCGTGTGCGTGTGTTTGTGGTGTTGTTACATGTGCAGTATAGTTGCAGAGGAGTGGTGTTACCTAAAAGAATTTATTCCTAAAAATTAACTGCTATTCAATCACAATACGTTTGAAATCGGCTGTGGTTGCTTCATTAGAAACGTTGTTTTTTCGCGTAAACGCAAGTTAATGTGCGCGTGGAACGAATCAAGCTTGCACGCGTGATTGTTGTTCGAGATTTGCCATTGCGAGCGCTCATCAGTGGGCGTACGGTTTTAATGATTTTAATGTGCAAAGTCAAATCCCGCGCGTGCATTGTTAATAATCCGTCTGCCATATCTTACGAACACTATACCCAGATTAACACCATTGTACGATATGTTGTCGTTTTATTTATTTTTCAGTGCGTACTAAATACCCGACATTAAGATGTGACTCGGTTTGGCTGTAGCTGATGACAACCGCGTGAAGTGATATGAAATTAATAATAAATAGAAATGCTTGATTAGTGTCTTTCTCTCGCAGCGTGATTGTGTGAATAGTTAAACCGCTGACGCAACATTTTCTTGAGTTCCTTCATTCTTGAGGTTATGTCTCCCTATCGTATTCAGTTCATCTTCCGCTGAAATTAGTGCATAAATATTAACAATATAGGAAAAAAAACCACGTGGGTTCAATCACGAGTCTGTAACCGTAAGTTTACGAGCGTAAATTTGCAAGCATTAGTTTACACGAGTGCGATTTTGCACGTGTAATTTTTGCGAGCATAAGTTTTCGGTCGTAATTTTGCAAGCGTGAGTTTGGTGACTGCACGAGTAAATCTACCTCACCTAGAGCCTCCAGTGTTAGAAATGTCATCCGGTCCCTCCAGTCTGGGGCTGGCAAACATTTGAGTAGGACTTGCTGATTTTTATTGCTTTTACGATAGGTCATATCAGAAGTGGATAATCTCAAAAGAGGGGTTATTTCCTCAGAATCGCATAGTAAAAATAAACGTGTTTAAAATCATGACTGGTTTGGGTTTCCAGACATATTTCGACGACTTTAGAGGCTCATCGCCGCCATGTTTTTACTGTGTTTGCTCACAGGTTGCTGAATCGCCATGTCTGTGTCCTCCTCCATCATGGATGACCAGGACGAGAGAGTGCTGCAGATACTCATGGAGAAAGATGCTCGCATCTCACACCTGGAGAGCTTCATTCACTCCATCTCTACATTGGAGTAAGCGTTCCTCATTTAATTACACCCGCGTCTGACGTAAAGTCAGTCTGTGCCATCGGTAGACTGCTACTGGACTAGTTGACGACTCTCTTGCTAGAACACAACTGCTTTGGAACAGTCTATTACTGCGGGGTACGAGTTTGAGCTAGTTCTGCCTTCAACAATTCCATGATATACTGCGTTACAGTCACATGGACGGTCGATAAATCGAGAATCGTAACTACTGTCTATCTTCCAATGTAATGTCTAATAAGGGTAGAAATTAACTTTTGAACAAGGAACTCAAAAAGAGGGAGTCCGCAGCAAAATGAGGGAGTCCGCAGTCTGAGGTTCAAAATTAAAGATATTAACAATAACGCATGTGCTTATTTTTAAGATTCATGCAGTTGCACGTCTGCCAAATTTTCTTTGGACATTAGCTGGAAAAATATGGTAATTCCGCGAGTCCGTGCTCTGGAACAAACTATCGTTAGTATATGGCAGAATTTTCAGGGAGTCACACGGACTCGTGCATATGTCAAATCAGGGACTCTGACAGTAAATCAGGGAGTATTTGACTCCGGACTCCCGTTAATTTCGCACCCTGGCTACTATGTGGATTTGTGATGACCCTTGCAGGAGGTCAGGAGAAAGTGATCGGCAGCAGGAGAGTTTGGTACAAGAGCTTCGTAGCATGGAGCAATCATCGCTGAAAGACCTGAATGCCAAGCACGAGGCAGCCACAGCTCAACTGAGGATGGAGAATCAAGGTACTTGAACTCTTCTATAGCATCCTGTTCTTGGAGACGAACGTTACAATGTCATGTGTGAAGCGGAGGTCTGGACCGTCTCTCCAGGACGCAGATACACTCTGCTACCCCATGTGGGTTCACTCAGATCATCACTTGAAGAAATTGAGCTATAAAGTTATATATGAATCTTAATTAATCGATAACATTATACTGTCATCAAGGGTTCCATCACATCTTCTCTCATTTGAGACTAATATTACAATAACGATAATACTTCAATACTTTTCCCTTTATTTGGATATTAGTATTATAACCTCACAACGCTTTTTCTCTCAACGCCATTATTTCAGGCACGTTATATTCCTTCAACCCTTCTATAGTAAGACTCTTTGTTCAGACCAATTTTACATGTCTCTCAACACTTTCCCTTTTCCAATACCCTTTTAATTTGCAATAGGAGTCTGTCACTATACATTCTCTGCTTTCTGCAGCTTGTAAACTAAGTTCAGTCTGTGTGGCTGGCAGTCAGTTCGTATCAGCGAGCCAAATTGCATTCGCTAGCATGACCAAGTATTCACCTATCGTAATTATCCAGCAAGCAAATCGCCATTGTCTGATGGTATCTTCTTTATTTCACCAGAAGCGAACATCGTCACCCCATAATCACCGGGTTTCCATCGTTTCTTATAGACTGAAGGAGCAGTTGGTGAACTTAGTGCCGAAAACAAAAGCTGGAGGAGGGGCCTCTTCTTGGTGCCGCACAAATCAAGTACGTAGGCGACACTCTAACTGGCCCTGCGTCCACAGCTGTTATCACACTCGCAGAAACCTAGGGCGCACTGTCAAAATAGTGAAAAAAAGTGTTTTTGATAGGAAATGCCATCGTTTTAGTCGAATGCAGCGCCCCCTCTACGAACGAATAAATGTACGTTAGCGGTCGCGCTTGCTCTGTTTGACGAACAAATACAATCGGACCCGATAAAATGGTAACAAAATATCGTTCCGGTGAATGTTGAAATCGGTCGGACTACTGGTACATACTGACTCACTAAGAATCTGTGAGTTTACGCACGCGGGGTATGAAAGGAGAAGTATTGAAGGTAGGAGGCGTATGCGGCCGCCAGTCACGCGTTGTCGTCGTTGTCGTCGTCGCGTTTCAGCGGCTGTCGGAGACGGGTGTCTGTGCTGGAGCAGGCCTGCCAGCGAGTGGAAGTGAAGCGGAGACGCGCAGGAGCAAGCTGAAGTCGCAGGAATATCCCTCGCAGGACTGATTAGCCGAGAGCAGAGCGAGAGTGAGCAGACGAGGTAAGAGAAGCGGCAGCGGAGAGCGACAGATTGTAAGAGAGCGATCAGACGGAAGAGCGTACAGAACGAGGTCAGCGATAGAGCGGTAAAGAAGCGAGCAGACAGTAAGAGAGCGATCAGACGAGGTAAGAGAGCGATCAGACGAGGTAAGAGAGCGATCAGACGAGGTAAGAGAGCGATCAGACGAGGTAAGAGAGCGATCAGACGAGGTAAAGACGCGATCGACGAGGTAAATAGAGGGCGCGATCAGACGAGGTGAAGGGCAGAGCGTAGGCGATCAGACGAGGTAAGAGAGCGATCAGAGCAGTTGAAGTGAGTTAGATGTGTGACACTTTAAGGGGTGGGTGTGTAACTCGTGTTGGCAAGATGAAGGTGCAACGCATGAAGACAGGTATTATTAATCAGGCGTAGAATGTCATGCAGTCATGTAATGCCGTGACACACGTAGCAGCGGTGTGACAAACGTCGATAACGTGTAAACGTGAAAAAGATAATTCATAAATAATTAAATAATAAATTTAATTACTGATTAAATACGATGATGTTAGCCAGTTGTAGCTAAGACAAAGGCGTCACACATTATGGTCAAGGTAAAACCGTGACGGCCGAAAAAGTTGCAACACGTAATGTAGAAAAGATACACATGTAACACGCGTGAAAAATTTAAACGCGTGACACATCATGTAAGCAAGATAAGGACATGACACAAGTATGCAAGGCGGCACGTCGTCGATGTGAGGCAACGATCGGTGTATTATATGTGTGTGTGACTAATGAGTACAAAACACTAATTCAGGGTGTGAAATTCTTCAAATACTCCCTGATTTACTGCCGGACTTCCTGATTTGACATGTTCACGAATCCGTGTGACTCCCTGAAAAATTCTGCTATACTAACTTGTTCGTTCCAGAGCACGGCCTCGCGGATTGCCGTATTTTTCAGAGCAAATCTTAATTGTGAAACTTCAGACTACGGACTCCCTCATTTTTTTTTTTTGCTGCGGACTCCCTCTTTTTGAGGGTACAACGGACAACCTTGTTCAAAACTTAATTTCTACCCCTGCCATGTGTTGCAGCGAATCGACTGACGAGCATCCTATCCTGACAGCAGACCTGAAGAAACTGTTAGAGGAGACACGCACAGGTGAGATCACGTTATACGCAGTTCATCAGCATAGACAAAGGCGTTTTTACGATCCATCACCAAAGTAGGCGACAGCCGAAACTCACGCTATTATCCTAGAAACTGATCCCATGCTTTCGCGATGCGTCGTCACGCTGAAAACGAATGCTCAATAATGAATGCCGCGCTCGCTGTTGTTTGCACCGCCCGACTCGCTGCCAGCGTCGGCTGTTCGCTTGTCGCGCGGCGAAGGCGACGTCGTGTGCGATCATCCCCTCACATTGTTCCGGTCACTGCGGAATCCCTGGGTGACGTGTCAGCTACGGGCACGACTCGTTGCCGTGGCGACGGGCAGTTTTTCACCGATTCTTGTAGCGTCGTTTTTAGCTCGCCTTGACATCGTCAAGATGAGCTATTGCCATGGGGTGTCGTCCATCATACGTCCGTCCGGCCGTCCGTCCATCAACATTTGGCTACGGTCAATGATAACTCAAGAACCGTTTGACCCACATGTTTCAAATTGCATATAGTTGTTACTCCTATAGGAGAGGTTTGAACGTCCTATTTTGGAGCACGCCAGTCGACCTACATTGGAGCCACGTCCACTTTTTGGCAAAAATGAAAATGGCCATCTAAATTCATTCGATTTTGTTAAATCTTGGTATGTGAATGTGTAAGGCTAACCCCAAAACAGTTGTTACTCCTATGGGAGAGATGACAACGTCCTATTACGTTTATTTCGTCTAACTGGTTAACAACTCTACAATCATACCTATATACGTGTAATATTGTGTTTTAGATTCTTCGTTACAGTAATTTGACTGGAATATTTTATTGTTTTTATTTGCGCGATATTTGAAAACCAAAATGGCGATCATTTAGGCGTAGCACCATCTCTCATCAAGATTTCAGACTTTTAGATCTGAAACATTTATTTTTGCATCAAAACTTATGCATATATCATTATCAAGAGTATATAATGGGAGATATGCTAGTTCTCCCATATATACTCTTGCTTTATATATCCCCCCCTCCCTCTTCTATCACACCCAAGGTGAGCTACAGTGTCATTGACACTTTCATTTGTGTTTGCAGTGCTGAAGCACCAAGAGGAGATGTTTGCTGCTGAGATTGTCACATTACATGAGGTATGTCACCCAGGTGTAGTGTCACATTGTCGTACTACATGAGGTACATTAGCCAGGTGTACTGTCACATTGTCACACTACACAAGGTACTTCACCCAGGTGTAGTGTCACTCACATTGTCACACTACATGAAGTATGGCAGCCAAGTGTGTAGTGTCACACTGTCACTCTACGCGTGGTACGGTGGCCAATTGTAGTTTCACATTGTCAATACACAAGGCACGTTTGGTGGGGCTGCTTCGTGCGGTATTAATGTCACACTGTGACACTGTAATGCGGTAATATTGTACAGAGTAATTAGGACTGAGGTGTGTACTACTGGCCACACACTGGGTATGACTGGTGAGCATCTGATATTCCTCTGGGTGCTCCTGTAATCACTTCAAACGTTGCCGCTAGAGAAAGCGTCATTTCGTTTGTGCGTTCATTACTCAGGGCCGCGTCAAAGCATGTTGAAACTTCATCTCTCCCCAATTCATCACCCTCATGTGTCAATCAAACGCTCGAAAACCGCTGAAAATTATAGCATCACACTCACTCAATTATTTACTGATGGTGACTTTATGCATTGTAGCTAGTTGTTTTCACCCGTCACGTTTAGATGACAAGCATTGGCGAATGTTAGGGTGGTTGTTATTGCTGCTGACCCAAGCCTACTCATGATGTTGCGTCTTGATGTGCGTGCCGCAATATCCCTGTGCGTATTGAAGTGTTATTTACACCTTTATAATGGCTCATGAATTCTTAATGGAGACTTCAGGAAAATCTTTGATGAGAGTGCTGTTACTTATGTTAGGCATTGTCGCTGCTTATGTCAGACGGCATCGCTGCGTATGCCAGTCAGTCACTGCATTAAACAGCTAGCGTTGCCACAGCGCCTAGTGATCGAAGTCAGATACATGTACGTCATTATCTGTGCATTATTCTACAAATGCCACTCATCGCCCGTCTTTGCATATCACACAGTGTCACTGTATTTTCCGGCGATTGTCGCTGTTTTTCCTAGTTGGTTTTGTGTCTGTCATCGGTGTGGCATATGCCACGTATTTTTTGTGCCATATTCCAATCCTTTTAACCGTGCAAGACAAAAATTGTTGTGGCGTATGGCAGTCATTGTCACTGTATATGGTAAACATTGGTGTAACATGTGCCTGTCATTGTCTTTGTAGACCAGACCTTGTTCTAGCATATGCCTGTCATTGTCTGTATGCACTAGACATTGTTCTAGCGTATGCCTGTCATTGTTTTTGTGTACCAGACATTGTTCTAGCATATGCCTGTCATTGTCTGTATGTACCATACATTGTTCTAGTGTCTGCTAGTCACTGTTAGTGTCCACTGCCAGACATTCCTGCTGCAGCGTCATTATCTATGTTACAACTTGAAACAAAAACGTGACTTTACTTGTCGGTGATTTGCAGGAGATAAAGCAGAAGAATGAGACAATCGTGGATCTGAAGGCAGAGTTACAGGCGAGACAGAACAGCCTGCGTGACCTTGAGACTGAGCTCAAGGTGAAGCGAACCATCGCCACACAGTGTCAGCTGCAGAGCAGCGATCACGTGCGTATCCTATCCGCGCTCCGCCGATTCGAATTCCTACCGTAAAAAGCTCGAGTGAGATTTATCGTTTAACATGGTGCTTATGCGTCTGGATCTGCTGCTTGTATTTGCCTTGGCGTGTGACAGGCACCAGCAAACTGTGATGTAGATTGTTTTCTCATATTATCATGTGACTACATATGATCTGCTCATGAATCTATTCTGCACATGCTAGACATTGCTGCTGTGTGTGTCATACGTATGTCAATTTATATGTCTGACGGTGTAGATAAATGTAACATTCGTTGCCACATGTCAAGTTCGTCAGAATGGGTGTTCCAACACTGAGAAAGGCAAATGAAGCTAACCACACAGTTGGTTGACGTTTGCTATAATGTCCAACACATGTGTGTGGGTTGGAGGTAATAGCAGCTTCATTACATGCGACCTTTCATGAGGCAAGTTGCTGTTAACTGCCTCCTTGTCATTCATGGTTGAATTTCTGTAGGCATCTCAGGTGTGTGAGAATTGCGTTGGCACAGAGAGAGAGGCCACGCGACTGCAGCAGCAAGTAGACATCCTTCTGAGAAGGTTTGCATTATCACCATCAGCCATTGCATCATTGCCAATGCAACGTTGGCTGCCTACGTGTTAATTGTATATATTAATTAGCTGTAGAATTTGTAACTAATTGTTATACAAGAAGCATTGTTACTCAATGTAATACTTTGTACACTCTACCGTTCTGGTATATTCTCCACCATCTTCCCATGTGGCATGACACAGGGAGCAACGTTCATATATTGCCATGGTTATTAGGTGTGTTCAGTTGATTTCTGCATGCGACGAATTAGAGAAAGTTTGGTTGGCAGTTTGTGAAACGCGTTTTGTTTGATTGCCAGACTCGCTGCGGAGTCGTCCGCATCCCCCGCGAAGCATCAGGAGCGCAGCGAGATCGAGGATGAAGTTCTATCTCTCGTTGAAGCCATACAGAGCTTTGACACACAGCTGGGAGGATGGACCGAGCTCATCCAGTCAAGGGTCAGCGATGGTGACAATGACAGTGACGATGACATGATGGTGATGATGGTGATGATGGTGATGGTGGTGGTGGTGGTGTTGATGGTGATGGTGTTGATGGTGATGGTGGTGGTGATGGTGGTGGTGGTGGTGGTGGTGTTGATGGTGATGGTGTTGATGGTGATGGTGGTGGTGATGGTGGTGGTGGTGGTGGTGGTGGTGGTGATGATGATGCTGGTGGTGGTGTTGATGGTGATGATGATGCTGGTGGTGGTGTTGATGGTGATGATGGTGGTGGTGGTGGTGGTGATGGTGATGATGA